CCATTTTATTTTCCATTTTCCCATGGTCAACAAGCTTATGAAGACTGACGAATGGATTCGCAAAGGTTTTTTCGAACGAGTTGGTGGACATGGAATATCTCCCAGGGAGGAGCTGTTGCAGTCATCAAAGAAAGGGTTGATTCTGGGCAGGCATCTACTGACGGGCAGCACTTGACAGAAGTTTGTAAAGATGAAGTAGACAGGCTCCATCATGTCCAGCGCAGTGTGAGCTTGACACCTGAGATGATTGTGACCGGTCTCAGATTCCGCCCACACGCACATCTTGCAGCCTTGACGCTCCTGTCTTCTGCGAAGGAGTTCATACTCACACAGAGCTTAGTCAGGCTCGCCACGGCATCAGAAGCCGAGTTGCTGCTGGGCTGCCTTGGAACGGGAAGAAGTGCTGGCTTTCTTATTGCCGCTCTGCGCAGAAACTGGGTGCCGTGGCTGAGGTCAGACCTAGGCAGCACAAACATCATGAACAACGTTCCAACATTCCTCGTGGCTTGGTCGCAGTCTGTTGCGTTGACTGAACAGGAGCTGTTTTTTATCTATGGGCTGGGCGTGCACCTGGGGAGCACAGGTCAAGGATAGTTTTCGGAGCTCTGATACTCCGGCATTGCGCCGAGCCAGCAGCGCACTTCACCTGTTCACGTGTGCGATCCTACAGAACGGCAAGCGATCCTGCAAGTCTACAAGGGCTGAATCGCCTGAAATTGTATAAACAGTTTGTTCACACGTCTTCCGACACACTGCCAAGTCACTGTGGCAATGACGTTTGCTGTTTGAGGATGAGCGTTTTGCAAGTTGCGCGCATGCCTCACGCACAGCACAGAACACGCAGAGATGTTGTTCGCAGTAGCACTGCATAGTCGCAGCTAGCTCACACCGAATGAAAACTGATGTTATGTTGTGTAATCATTTCTTCTAGCCCAGATTTTGGGTTCGGACCATGGCGGTCCGGTCACACGTCGAGAGCTGTGGCACCCTAGACCCTAACTGTGCGGGGGCGATGTATACTAATGATGATCCTCAGAGACACCTTTGCCACTGTTTTTGTGATTTCTGGCCAATCATGCTACACAGCAGTAGAAGGTCTATGGCGGTTGTTGCTGGAGCCATGGTTCATTGCCGAGTAATGTCATGCTTTTGCTAACAATTGGGCATGCGGTATACAGCCTTGTTCAGGGATTTTGCCAAGCAAAGGGGTCTGCAAGCTCCATTGTGGATTTGCAAAAATGTGGATCCCCCTCGCGTACCCCAAAATACGGAAGCACCCGAAGTCGTCCCTCGAGCTCTCTTGAGGTGCACTTCTTCAATTCTGGCTGCGCGCAGGAGAGCCAGCTTAAGCTGACTACATTAATGCGGCTGCTGGCATAGTGTGGGGGCCCAAGTACTACGATTCCGAAAGCTATGGGCTCCTTTCAGGGGCATGCGTTGTAATATGTCAATTCCATACGTCCAAATGCGGCTGAGAAAGCTTGATTGAGCGTGTATGTGAATAAGATATATTTGCATGCACATGCAAGATTGCTTTCGGGCTCCGCGTGAGCATCAACAGCTGTTGCAGCGCTGTCTGTCCTGGGGAGTCAATAAAGAGCAGGGGAGACACGGGAGAGGATATGCTGCATTGATCAAGAAAGCGGTAGATAAAGCAAAGCAGTAACAACTGCAATTTCGTACAAGCAACGACAACACCATACCTATGCTGGCAGACCAACCTTTTCGACTAAAGGCCCGTTCTTCTCCAGCAGCTCCCATTCTGTGCGGTCCTTGAGGCCAGCGCTGGCACAGTCATTTTAATTGTTTCAACATGTTGCAACTGTGGTTGTGTTAGTCACTCTGCCGCTGCTGCTGCTGCCGCTGCTGCTGCTGCTGGTACCAGTTGTAGAGTTGGCTCTAGTTGTGGTTGCAGAAATTTGGCACTGGCTGATGATGATACTGCTGCTGCTGAAGAGATGCAGCTGGGAGCCAGGCTTGGGGTCATGAGTTTACCGCCTAGGTGTGTCAGGGACCGACGCAGGTGAGACCCAAGCACGCCCCTTTGTTCAAACCCAGCAAAGTTGCAGGAGTAGCTTCATCCTGTATGCATGCACGCACCAACACACCTGCGCCTACTGATGGGCACATTGTCCTGGCATAGCATACTTGTATTGCTGGCTTGGTTCCAAGGGCTGGTTCAAAGTTGTACAGGCAGTGCTTTGGGGCAGGGTCAACCAACATCAGAGTGCTGACAGATCTGCACGTGCCCAGAAACGGAAGCCATGGCTGCCACCGAGACCCCGCCCTTGATTCCCAATGGTGATGTGACGGAGCAAGCAATCCAGGACACCTTGGATGCTTGGGCCCATGCAGAGTGGGAGCACATCCTTGCAATCAAGGTGGACTCAGCGACCAGAATTCAACAAGATGTCTACTTGATCGAGGATGCCAATATTCCCTCTATGACGGTCCCGGCAGCTGACCAGGAGATGGAGCGAGAGGATAGTTCAGAGATCAAGGAGTTTGCAGTAGAGATGTTATCAGGTGAGACAGTAAAGCTGAAGATGAGTGCACCCTACACGGCTGCGCACGTCAAGCAGGTGCTCGAATCGCGCCTGGGTGTTCCTTCCTACTTGCAAAGACTCATTGCAGGCCCTCAGGAACTGGAAGATGACGCCATGATCACCGTGGACTCAATGACGTTGCTGCGCCGCGAACCACCTCTCATATCCACGGAGGACTTTCTGCGAACAATGGTGGAGAGTCCAGGTTGGCAGCCAGGCGACGTATTCCTAAGGTGGCACGGTTTTGATACCTATCGCAAATGGCCTGCTAGCACTGAAGATCGATGGAAGTGGGCACTGGGACATCGCAACATGCGCAATGTGCCCCTTACCACAGAAAACGTACTTGAATGCCTTGATGTGTGGCTGGGGATAGAGGACAAGCAAGGGACACATCCAGACAGCTTCGGGGCTCACGTGGACAAGATGGTTGCCTTTATGCAGCACTGCTGCTACAGCCCCTCCTTGCTGGTAGTCTACGAGGAGCTTGCACAGCAAGTAGGCTCTCTTGTTTCTGAGCAATCTGAAGCTTGGCATGTTCATGATCTAGTCTTGGGACTAGCGGTAACATGTTTAAGTGGTGGTTCGCAAGGAGCCTTATGGCCACGATGATGACTATGAGTTCGTCTTCTTCCTCGTCGGCAGACTGAGAAGTGAGCCGCAGACCATGGTAGTTCAGAGCATCCTCCTCAACTGTTGGATTTGAGAACTGCTTGTTGTGGCTTTAGTCTGGCGTTGCGACAGGGATTGTCCACACACAAGTGGGCTTTGTGATTCTTGCTGTTCTACTGGAACGAGTGTACCAACTTTGCTTTGCATAAGCTTTTTGGCTGCACGTGCAGGCGTGCCGCTCCACGGCGAGCTCCGTCCGGCAGCAAAATCAGGACATCCCTGACGAATCAAAAGGCGCCTCCCGTCAGACAAATGAGCATGGCAGAACTGTGTGGTATGCTTAAGAGAGATAAGGCAGCCCTGCTGGTGTTCTCACGTCATGGTGATTACAGGATGTTGCGCAGCAGTTTTGCCTCGCCACAGCTTTCGTTTCCTTGGATTCGTTGTGCTACCTGGTATTTCCGAAATATCTTCTTGCCAGGTTTATCTCTCGTTGGAATTTAGCAGTGAAATTGACACGACAGATATCTCGCAGACGCTCCAACACTTGCTGTCGTGAGGCGGCAATTTGAGGCTCCGCATGTGGGTGCGAGGGCGGTGCCACACAGGCGCCAAACTCAAGCGCAAAGAGAAGTTAGCTTTGTAGCTCGTTGTGGGAACTTTGGTTGCGGAATTTCAGAAGGCTGAGAGTGCATGGCTTAGCCCTGAGTTCAGTGGAGTGACAGCGTTGCAGATCATTTGTGAGAAGGCCGGTCCAATGATGGGACAGGAACCCCTCAGCTGAGCCCGCGTGCCTCTAACCTGCAGCCGCCCATAGGGTTTAGGGTTTATGGATGGCCGAACCTCTGAAAACCCCAGGCCGCCAAACCTTGTCCCACCCACCTCAAACCAGGTTCACAACATCCAAGTCGACTGCGAGAGCCATGCAAAAGGCCAAGCCGCTGCTCGTTGCGCAGCCTGTCACGCCAAAAAGCCTGCGTTTTCCTGGATTTAGGATTGAGAGTTTGGGGTTGGAGGATTGTAAGCTTAGGGCTTGATTTCGGAGATTGGGGGTTTGGGTTCAGGAATTTCCAAAAAGCCAGATATCGTAAGACCGCGATATGCAGCTACAGAATTAGCCTGAATGGACTGGTTTCTGAGTATGCGCCAAAAACAGTTTCCCGAACCTGAACAGTCTGTTTTGGCTTCTGAGCTCACCCAGTGATAGTTGTGCAGTTGAAAGCTCTCGGACACTCTTGGTGACTGGCAGTGGCCGAGCAGAAAGGCTGAGAGTTTAAGCGGCTAAACTGTGCATCTTGACGAAGACGCCGCAGAAATAGTATGGCCAAAATGGATGATAATGGCGATAGCTGTAGCAGGGTCTAGGGTTTAGGGTTCAGGGTTTGGAGATTCAGCCGGCATTGCCCTCAGTCAGTGCTCAAAAGGGTTCAGGGTTCAGGGTGTAGTGTAGGGTTTATGGTTCAGGGTTTGTAGTTTGAGCATTGACAACTCCTTTCCTCTCATTCAGTCCTCATCCCTCCACCTTCAGCAATCAGTATAGTATGCCTAAAGTCATGCAAGATTTCGTCCATGAAGAGTCTCCTTCTGAACTCATTTGCTTCGGGGCTCTCAGGATGGGGGATTGGGGGATGCTAAGATGGAGGGCTGCCCGTGCCCGAAATCCCAAGCAGGGAGCCTGAAACCCCTGAACTGACAGGAATACTTACCGGAGCCCTCCTGAAGGATCTCCCCTCCCCTTCGGAACACTTTGCGCCCTATCCGAGATTAATCCACACTCTTGATTAGTAGGGGGGCCGGTCCCCCCCCCTAATTTTACAGATAGGGATTGTTATTCTAGGGATCCCAGACGGTTTCAATTAGATTCTGCCCTAATGCATTCCGATTAGCTTTGATTGATTCTAATGGGTTTTACTGGTATTAACAACACTTTAATAGGTTGAGTTTAATCAGAGTTGAACGGCTTTATTTCAATTCACACTTATTTGTTTGCATTAGATGTTGATCGCCTTTAAATAGGGTTGAGCGTGAATTTTTCATGGCTTTAATTGGACTTGAATTTCGAGTACGTTCCTACTGGTTTTCAAAAGATCACGATATAAAAAGGATGCGAAACTAATGACCTGAGAGCATTTGCAAGTTTTCCATGAATCCAAATCAAGAGCATCTCACGCAAGGTCTGTAAGGGGTAGCTCAGGAAGCAATGTTTGAGCCTTCAATTCCTAATGAAGTTTAATGAGCAATTCAGGTCTTGGCATCAGCTCTCTTATTCTTCGGGAGTTGAGGTTGAGGTTTCGAAATTTAGGATTGAGCGTTTAGAGCCTGAGAACTTAAAACTAGACCTCAAATCCTCAAACCTAAACCTGAGCAGAGATCAAAACTTCCGAACAGGAAACGCTATAGCGAGTGGCAGTATAGATGTTGCCGCTAGCAAAAATGTGGGTTTCGTAAGCTACTGTAAGGAAAATCTAGGCACTTGTTGCGCCGTAAGCTCTTGTTTCCGGGGTCTGGTTGATTCATATTTGGAAGGTTCAGGGAATGGACCTCTGGAGCTTGCTCAAGATCAACACAGCTTAGAAACGAGAACCCCTTGTTGCTATTCCCGCGTCTCCACCGTAAGCGCCGTAAGCTGGTTCCCTAAAAAATGGCAACCGCGAGCTGAACCCAGGGTTTCGTAAGTTACTGTAAGCAAATTCCATGGCATGAAAGAATTCAACAAAGGTTTTGATCCCCGCACCTTGCTAAATTTCTAGGATCTGCAGGGGCGGTAATTCTATTCAAATTACGCGGGTTTTTCGCCCCAAAACTGCCTCCACCTTTAAAGTTATCTTTGAGCCCTACTTTGGCCCAACATGCTTTTTAACCTAGTGGATTTTTCCACATCAAGAGCACTGATCGGGCCACATTAGGAGGCCGGGATGTCCCAGATAAAATGGGGGGTTTCCCAAAATTAGGGGTACCTTTTGGGGGGTCCTAATAACAAGGATTATAGTATATTAGGGTCTATAATATGGGGGTCCCCCTATTTGGGGAAACTAACATATTTTTCTTGATGGAGCCATGTTTGAGGATTTTCCTGTAGCCCAGGCAACTGAAGCTCGTGCTCGGCTGCTGGGCCTCCATGACCATCCTTATGCGAGCTAATTTACAAGGGGACCATTACACTCCCCCAAACTAACATGGAAACCCATATAGCCCCATTTTAGAGGGACTGTAGCCTTCATTGGGCCCCTTTTGGGTTTCCAGATTAGTTGCCAGGAGTGTAAGGCTGGACATGGGGGGTCCCTTTAGTGGTTTGGTAAAGTCTTTAATATCTTCTTTGATAAAAACATGTAGCTCAAGTAGGGCTTAATTGGAATTGAAGATTTATAGGGCTTTGGCGGCTTAGGGCTTGGTTTGGGATTCAGGGCTTTGGATTTAGGACTCAGAATTCAGGATGTGTCGGGCTTAGGACATTGGACGTAGGAGGGGGAATTTAAGGCATAGGATTCAGTGCCGCAGGACTCAGGGTAGTCTAGAACTTCGGGTATGGGGATGTAGGGTTCAGGGCTTGCGGTTGGGGATTGGGAGTGGACCTTTTGCAAGCTGTTCGGCCGCGCAACGCAAAGGTTCAAAAGTGCTGGTTGCGGAGTTGTCGAGGCGGCGTTTGCAGGCTTCTCCCAGGGGTTTAGTAGGCCCTCTATATCCCAGGGAGCCATTGATTGTGCTCGTGCCTGCTATGGCTGAGTCAGAGCATCAATGCTCACACTGCTATTACGTGCATCCCTGAGAGTGTACGACTGTGGGAACATTCATGTCCAAACCTCACTGCCCAGCCCACAAAAATGTTTGTCTCCGAGCACATGAAAACACACCATGTCCAAACCAATATCACGTCCATCCCCGAGAGGGAACGGCTGTTGAAATATCTATGCCCAAACCATAGCTTGCATCCATCCCCAAAAGCATAAGGCGGACAGCGAAGGGCACGGGCTTCAGGCTTTGCAGCTTCTTGGCTGAAAAGCCATCAGCTGGATTTTGCCACAAGTGTGTGTGAGCAAGGCTTGGAAGGGCCAGGCCGATGAATTCAACGCACCACGGCTTTCTCGGCATTGCGAATGAATATAAGATGTTGATAAGTGTGGGCAAATATGCAAGGTTGATAGATCTAAGAATCATCCAAAAAAGAATAATCTCAAATATAGATAAATACCGAGATAGGCTTATAGATGAATATAGGCAAATATGCAAGGTTGATAGATCTAAAACTCATCCAAAAAAGAATAATCTCAAATATAGATAAATACCGAGATAGGCTTACAGATGAATATTAAAGTTAAGCCATAGATAATTGAGAGCTGGCTAAAGATCGATAGGGAAACAACTATAAAATCAAGAAAAATGAAAATGAATTCCGAACCTCTCCAGAGACTTTATAACACCCCAGATTCTAAAGCTTTTTAGTAAAAGAAAAAATCTCATATCTGAGATGTTGATCCCCCCCTCTCTCTCTCTCTCTCTCTCTCTCTCTCAGTCAATTAAAGGTTCCGAAGAAATCGCTGTGGGGCAGCTGACGTAGAGCTGCGTAACCTCATGTTTTTACTTTCTTATCTATCGGTCTTTCGTCTTGACGAGCAATTAATCAGGAGTCTAATGCGTCAATCTCCTTCCGTAATTCGATCCGTCGTTCTGGGAACTTATCGGTCTGATAATCTTCTAGAAATTATGTAGTGGACTATAAATTTCTCGAATTGACCTTTTAGTTTCTATCGAATCCATCGACCCTTCTTTGTTGTCCTGTGGAGCCCCCTGCTTTTTGCAACTCATCTCACCAGTGGTCTTTGAACAACTTCAACTTTGAAACTTTGTAAGACATTGAAACTGCCCTGTTCTGCTGTCATTCGCCCAGCTAGTTTGCCTTCTTTTGCCATCAGTATCGTGCAAGCCACATATTGCTGTGTTCTGCACATGCCAGACAGAAGTTGAGGTTTGTCTGATTCGTGGCGTGAGCAGATACATCTCGTGATCGGGAGATGAAAGCAAGTCACGCCTTCTCCCGTGAATCTGAAAGGATGAAGCGGGCTTTGTTTCTGTCTGCTGGCTCGAGCGATATTCATAGCAAAACGGTTTTGAGCTTTTGGGACAGCTGCAACTACACATGGAGTGGTTCATGCTCAGAAGTGGACGCATTTTGCATCTACGAGGTGTCTCAACATGACAAAGCCAGTTGTTGCTGGCATGGGGCAGCAAAGCCAGTTTCAAATGCATTTTACGGACGCAGCCGTTAGCGCCAAACACGGTCCTACAGCCCGTTCGGGTCCATTCTGTCGTTTTTGCAATGAAGTATACCATCTTTGTCGCCTTTTGCTGCCTGGCCAGCGCCCTGAAGCAGGGAACGATGAAGGAGCTCACAGCTAAAACTCCACATGAGGGTTTAACACAAATTCTTGTGGATGTCTACACTGCACATGTGACCTTCTAAGGTTCAGCAGGGTTTATTGACGAGCAGAAGCCCCGTGTCTGTTGGAATCCCTGACCTTCCCTTAGAAGGTCACGGCAAAGCATGCATTGTGTGGAGCCCTGGCGAGAGGTGCTGCAGACGCCCCTCAACAGCAGCAGCCTAGAGGATGCGCTTGTGCTTGCACTGCAAGCCTCACATGGTCATGTGCGCAAGGACACGAAGGACGGGAACAGCATTAGCTCAGTGGTCAGAGGTAGCGGCGTACGCAGAGGAAGTGGTGTCATTTCTGATCCCTCAACACAATTTGGATCAGGGTTGGACGGCAGATGTAGTTTCATGAGATCAGGAGCTCTCCAGGAAGAGTTCTGTGTAAAGACTTCCGTAACTAGGGGCTAGTAACAGCTGCACGTATCACACTTACAGGCTCGTAAACCCAAGTCCAACGTTTTTCACCGCCAAATTCTCAAGCCTGAAACCCAAGTTCATTACATCCTTGCCTAGTAGTATACGTGTCTGCTACAATGAAAGTCGTGTTGCTTCAGGATTGCCGCATACGTTTCTGATTTGGGCAAGTCCTAGATGGGATTCATAGAGTTCGGCTAGTCATGATGCCCTCAGTCGGTGAGAATATCAGATGTTAGTTTTATCTTGTGTTCCCCGCCGCAACAAATCCTAACTAACATGTGGAAGCCCTGCAAGCTGCGACGTTGCTGCCACTGAAGTATTTGCACCACCACAAGACCACCACGACTTTATTCGCACTGTCTACCTTGTTCATCCTACTACGACAATACGACGACTACTACGGCTATTACTATTTCTAGGACTGCTACGACGACGACGACGACGACTACTACTACTAGCCGCCTCCCCTCTCACCAACTATGTTTGCTTAAATGGCTTATAATATAAATATGGGGGAGTCAGCATTAGCAAACAGTAAGCGACATCACAACCACATGCTTTCCACTCAGGGCGCGATTCATTCTCCAAAGCCTGCTCTGTGAGCCTTCTCTGGCCATCAGAGGCTTGAACTTTGGCTCCCAAAGATGCCAACCTGAACACACCCATCAAAGACGTCGGGGAGACAGTCAAATGCGGGCCAAAACCACGGTCTCATGGATCCACATAGGCTTGCGGCAAATGAATTGCCAGGGTCGGCTTAAACGTAATTTCCCCCTCCCCCCTTAATTTTTACGACTACTACTGGGAGATCATGCTGACATAACAATTAGAATCATGCTGGTGGATGTGGCATTTCAGAAGAAAGCAGTTGTTGGGGCTTCTTGACAAGCCCCCCATCGCGTGCACAGTCCTTTTCAGCGGCATGACTGAAGACATCGTTATGGACAGCAGTTTCTTGTAACAAAAACATGTACGCAAGACTGTCTTCAAAAACTTCAAAAAATCCTGGGGTTATACGATTCTGAACCAATGTTTCTCAAGAAGTTGATGAGAAAAAGGGCCCTTGGGGTCACACAATCCTCAAGCGATTTGACAACAGAGTGTCCTGGAAGATGAGCTTTTGTGGGTCAATACTAGGATCATTTAAATGAAGAGATTTCTGTAAAGGCAGCCTTTGCAGGGCCATTATCTAAGATTAGCTTTCGACAACGGAGCGTTCCAAAAGGAGGTCTTGCCAAATGCCAGTCGCAAACGCTTCACACAAGACTGCCTGTAGATGTGTTTTTAAGATTTCTCCTACTTGATGGAGAGTGTTCCTACAGGAGCATTCAAAGGATTCTCTTAAAAGATCATTTCGAGTAGGATGCCACAAGAAATGTTCGGGTGGATACTATATATAAACTATAAACCTATTTCTTTGAAACCGTGCATTTCAACTTGCGCAAACTTCTAGTGTGGCCTTAAATTTTTTGCTACACAGAGCATTGTCAAAGAGGCCTTTGGAAAACTCAAGTGCAGACAACCCACGATTTTGCCGCGCCCTTTTTCAGTCCGCCTCGCTGACTATTGTTGGGAATAGCTACACTCCGAGGATGGACGCGATTGTAGTTCTGGCATGGATGTTGGGGGGATCAGATATACTCCAACATGGACGTTATTATGGTTGAGGCATGGACGCTGTGGGTAGCGGATTTACTGATATGGATGCTGTTGTAGCTTGGGCATGGATGTTCAAAGGTTTGTGCATACTCCTACATGGATATTCTCCATTGTTTGGGCACGGAATTTGTTTTTCTTTTAAAAAGTCAAGAAACTTTGCTCATGTTTACCTGGACCCCTGAAGTATGTAGAATTATAGCCTTTTGGGCGGTTGTTGAGGGTGAAAGGCCATTATTTTACATACTTTTGGGGTTTAGGTAGCTTCAACTTGGGTCCTAAAAGCAACATCGTAAGAAGGGGACAATGTGCCATTTGATGACAAGTCAACTGTTGGAAAATTCAATTCGGTAGTTGATCTCTCTGATCACACACCCATCCATGTCCCGAAATGACACATAGAAGCCCCACGGCTCATTATAAGACCAGTACCAACAAGAAGAACACCGGTTACCAATTTGTTGTCCTGCTGCTGTTGCTCGCAAGAATTACTAGTAATTATTCAGTATTATTGTTACAACAATCAAAATGGTGGCAATGCTGTTACTACCAGTGCTCCCATGCTTCGAAATTCCCATTTGTCTTCTCGGTAGAACTTGAACATCCCTTTGCCAGGCATTGGTGGAGAAGATGTGGCAACTCGTGCAGGATTCAAAGCCAGCCCTTAAGCAGAATCTTGAAGGCATCCAGGCCTGGGCTGAGGGTCCAGGTCTTAATGAGCTGTTTAGGGTTTAGGGTTGAGGGTTTAGGGTTTAGGGTGAGGGTCAAGGTCTTAATGAGGGATCTTATCCATATTTTGCAAAGTCATTTGAGATAATGGTTGTGGTCACAGCCGTCCCAGTTGTTGTCACTTTAGTAGACGGAGCAATAGTACCGGCAACAAGTGGGAACGTAGTAATAGTAGTGGCGGCAGAAGACGTGTCCTTAGACCCTTCGTTATGTGTTCGACATGTGGGAACAGTGCTGAAAAACAGCTCCTTCGCATACCTTTGAGATCCTGTACTAAGAAAGCTACAACATGACATGCTAAATTTTTCATCTGCCTCCAACGAGTGTTCACACTGGATTCAAGGAGGATCTTGTTGTCAAGCTGCACAGCAAATTCGTACATGCAACTTTCCGCAGCCACCCCGAACCTTCACAGCCCGCCCCATTTGCTTAGGAATGTCTATCTTCATTTCTGCCGGCTGGGTTGCCAAACGAAACTATACCACAGCTCTATACGCGCTAGATTTTTGTAGGTAATGTGGTTGGAGCATTTGGTAGTGCAGGTGCAGGGTCTGTGGCTGCAACATGATTGATCAGCATTTGAGTTTGAAACATAAGCCCCAGAACCACAAGCCCACATTGCATGCTGCAAACGGCTCAGCGTACATTCATCACGTGGTCCCTTCTCAGACCAGAAACCCAAATTCTAGAACACCTGGTCGCTAATATGTTTGAGATGTAGGTGAGATCTTCTGTCACCATCATGATGGCAAGATACTTCGCATATCGTTTGTGGTTTGCTCTTATCTTTAGCTCAGCGAAGTCCTTCCGATCATTTGTTCTAAACATTATTTCGCAAAGTGCATTGTTTTCACCTTCGGTTTCAAAGACATTCATGTACCTACCAACAGTACAACACTTCAAGTTGCGGGTCATCTTCTGGTTGCGAACATGTCCCTGTCCACATTTAGCCGCTGATTTGCTAGTGTCCTGCTCTCACGCATGAGCTCGTGTTGCGACACACGTGGTAGAAGCAACATAACCTAAAAGCAGCCATTCCTTAATGCCGCACAGGCCACGCTGACCACTGAAGGTAAAGGCATGTCGAATTGCGGCGGAGATGCGCTGCAGAAGTGCCTGGCTGATTCAAAGTTGCCATTTTCGATAGAGGGGCTTTTCGGGATGTTCTAGATAAAGAAAAAAAACATCTCATGCAGCAAGCTACCCTTAGCACCTCCCACAAACAAGGAGCGCCTCGACGTTCAAAACAGATTTTGCCGCAAAGACCGATGCACACAAAACATGCCGGCAGACGGAGAAGTTGAAGCCGGGACTTGTTTGTCAGCACATTTTTTGTGCAGCTTGGAATACATTGTATGAAGAGAAGTTGAAGCCAGTAAGCATTCCAGACCGCTCAGGAATTTCAATGAACACAAGACATGCGACAAAGATCATGAGACGGCAAAAGCCACCCAGACGACAAGCTGCGATGCTGTTCCTAGATGGGAATATTTAATTGTTTCGTCTTTTTATTCTGGGGGTTGTGAGTGCAGAGAAGGGCTTACCAGGTGGCTGCCATGGAAAAGACCATGTATGAGTACAAGTCCACTTGCGAAGTGCAAGCAGGCGAGACCTTTGAGGCTTTCCACTCCCGGATTATAGAGGCATCGCAGAAACATCTAGCCGATTACAAGAAGGCGAAGTCAGCCTGCGAGGATGCCAAGAAGGCGGTGGAAGAAAAACAAACAGAATGCACCACTGCGCTGAAAACCCTCGAGTCTCAGAAGACGAATTGTGACAGCGTCCAAGATGCGATGGACAGCTATTCATGCTCCTACACCGAAAAGGCCACCACCGAATGCGAGGCGGCTCAGGAATGCTACACCAAGGCTGTGAATAATTATGACACTGTGAAAGCCAGTTCTCATCAGCAGCTGGATGCTTTGAAGCAGGACCGCTCTGGATGGGGGAGGTAGGTGCCACGCTGCATTCTTGCCTGCCCTGCCATCATGCTTCCCTGTTAGGAGTGGCGTGCTCTCTTGCGCATGGAATGCATTATCAAAGTCTTTGAACTGCCAGAAGGGGACCGGGCCAAGGCTATTGATCAGTGCCAGCTTAAAGACGTGGCCAAGCAAAGCGATCAAGACCTCGCCTTGCAGTTCCCTGTCAAGCCTGGCAAGCCTTCATGCCAAATCCCGACAGGCCCAGCTGGCAGCTCGGCCTACAAGACGGCCAACTACAACAGCCTGCCCGCGGAGGCTCCCGCAAAGGCATGCGTTGCAAGTTGCTGTGAGCCCCTTGTTCATTTTATTCGTTGATGTCACGTATGATTTAGCCAGCTTGCTTTCGAGATGTTTCATCATGGAAGTTCCTATGCAGCAATCTGTGTGGTCCAGTCGTGCTTAAGTAATCCGCATGATTTTCAACCTTTTCTTCGGCATCAAGAATAACAAAAAATCATGTCCCAGGCAATCTGCAGGCGTGTCCGGCTTGGACTTCTCAGGGCTTGGCACTACGCCTTCAGGAAGCTGGTCCCTGGCTCTCAACATCGATACAAACGATGGCAACGTTGTAGCCTACCCGAATCTTATTCGCACCCTGGGGCGCGTAGATTGTGCTGCCGCATCTCGATTTTTTTGTTTCTTCTTGTAAACCATGCCAGAATTGGAAACAAGTAAGGAATGTTGAATTTTGGGAGTCGGCTACGGGCTTGGGAGGAGCCAGCGATCAGACATCGGACCGTTTCACCCGGGACTACAAGGATCCAGGGCTGGGGCTTCGGGATTTAAAGCTTTAAGTTTGGATTGATGGTTAACGGTTGCTGAGCATTGGCATCTTAAAGAAGCAAAGCACAGCAACAACATTCAAAGGACGCAGATGTCTTCAGCAACAAGGAGGCCAAGGAGCTTTTGATTGTTTGCCACAATGAGGGTAAGGCGCATATGGCACAGTGTTTTTAAGCAACGATTTTTGGAGACGAAGATCAGATTGGGATTCAGGATGTCAAGTGCTGTGTTTGAGGCACTCGGATGGAGAACTTGGAAGCTCTTGGAAACCAAGACGCTCCACGGCTGGTTCACCACGGGCAACACCTGCAGCAGTGGTCTTGACCGCAACAATAAGTACCAGATGGCTGATGAGACGACAGGCGGCGATGTCGGCAATCTCATTGAGTGGGAGCCAATGATCAAGAATACGCACAACGGTGTCGATGACCTTTACGTGAATACCGAGATGAACACATACGACTTCAACCGCTTGTCGACAAACCTCAACAGCAGATACAATCGCGGAGCCGGACTAGGCGCACGGGTGAATGTTAACTCATGCACCACTCCATGGCCGCGAACTTGCATGAGGGATTGCGTGTTGAATTCCAGAAAGGCCCCCAGCACGACGAACAACACGTTTCCGGCAGTTGTGGAGACACGGAGCGGCCGCAGGCAGATGCCCAGATGCGCACCGAGAAGGCCAGCTTTTGGCACGATTTTTCCTGGATTGCAAAACATTACTAAATTCACTTCTCTTGGTTTATATTATGGCCATTTTTGCCTTGTAAGTATTTTTTTATATCCCCCGGACCAGGAACATTGGGGAAGCCACGGCGGCATGGGCGGGCTCATCGGCTCAGATCACAACTGTCACGGAGGATGCCAGTGGACGATCAGCTCGGGCTCCTGGAACGTTGATGGTTGGCAACTTTCATAGCTAGAGGATTTATGCGGGATACTTTTATTCAGGATGATAGTATTTGAAGGTCATTGTCGGATTTCTTCTTTTTCGAATTCTTACGGCAAATCGATTTGCTCTCGTATCCCGTACAGTCAAAGGTTACGACTACGACTATGCTATTTTCGTGCAGTGAAGGTAAATCGGTCTTTCACCTATCCATCAGGAAGGCGATAAAATACAATAGAACGAGAAGATATTCAAGACATTCATGAAATTTTCGATTGGATCCGCTGCTTATAGCAGCGGAGCATCGTCGTTAGAGTGTACTCGTAACGGTAAACGAGCTGCTGCGGAAGAAAATAGTGCGTAGAACTCCAAATCCTACGCCCTTAAAACTTGATATCCCGAATCCAGAATAAGCGTCGATATTCTGAAATTGAGGGCTAGAAGGGTAACAGCAGCTGAGGGAACTGCGTACTTGGGGGCATTGAAATAGCTCTTCCAAGAAGGAAGTGCCTATCTCGAAGCATTCTTGAAAGACTGCTTTATAAATTGGAACCCAAGGATTTGGAGAGACATCTGAGAATTTATCGATTTTTCCTAAGCAATCTGATGCGATCTACTTCTATCCCCCATCTTCTACGTGCCCATACGCATAACCCTCCACGGATACATGAAGGTCTAACTTCAATTCGAAACCCGAATGACGTGGTTCTGCTTGCCTGATGGACAGAGTTGGGGGCTCTTATCCCTGGATATTTCATGAAGAAACGCCGTATAGTAGCTGCTCATCTTGGTCATCAGATCATTCTGCAAGAACCTAATCTAGCAAATGATATTCTTGCTAGTCGCGGGTGTTTTTCGCTGATCTAAATACGGCTAACCTATAGAATTTGAAAGATTTTAGCTCTCCATCTCGGATCTATATATGCCGCCGAGCCGCTCCGCAGACAACTAAAGAGAAAGAAATGGTTGGAAATCTCGGAGAGATTTTTGGTCGTGCGGCCCAAAGTACGTTTTTTCAACTTTCTATCTCTCTTACGCTAGCTATTACGCGGCAAGTCGGAGGAGCGCATAAATGCCCGTGGACAGACGCGGCTACTCTTCATATTCCGCCGACCAAGCGCGCATGCAGCCAAAGAGAGATGAATCACGCGGAATACCCGGGGGGGACAATAGCCGCAGACAGCCAAAAGGAAAAAGAAATGATTCGAAATCTCGGCAGAATTTTTTCTTGCGGCTCAGGGTCTCCAATCCAGAATTTCCGCTTCACTTATCTCCCTTGGGCTAATTGTTGCGCGGCGGATCGGGGGAGCGCATGATGAACGCGGCTATCCCGGTTCTACACGTTCTGCCGAACAGCCACGCACGCAGCCAAAGAAAGAGATAAATCACGCGAAAAACAGCTCCGGGGGAAGGGCCGCGCGACCACTCCGAAATTTTGAGTCGCACCGCCCGCGGAGATTTTAGAGTCTCCAGCTTTTCTGAAGGATTTTAAAATCTCCGAGATTTTAGAGTCCTAGGGAGCCCGCAAGAAGTTTTAGAGGTGAGTCGGAAAGGCTAGGCCGCGCGCGGTCGAAATGGTCGTAAGTGGCTGCGCCGTAATATTGAGGTCTTCGCTGAAATTGGGAGGAATATTTGGATATATCATTAATACTAGTGTTTGTATTAAATTAGAAGAGTATTCATTTCTATGGAATATCTATTCTATAAAACGCTACGGCCTAATTGCTCTTAAGTTGTGCGTAGCCGCCTCGAGGCCCTAGGCTCCAAAATTTTCTGAAATTTTTGGAGTTCTGACGTTCGAGTCGATGGTACGGGACCCGTGGCCCAAAATTTTCGGAAAATTTAGGGGGCTGGGGGCGGCCTCGCAAGATATCTTGTTTCTCGACCGGTTCGGGCCGACCCGCGACCCTAAATTTTCGGAATATTTTGGGTCCGGGGCGGTTCGACGCTGGAGCTTCTAAATTTTCGGAAAATCTTTGAATATTCATCAAGAAGATTTTCAGTAAATTTCTATATCTAAAATTTTTCGGAAAAATTAGGAAATGGATGAAGTTCGTATCGAGACGAAGGTTGAAATACCAAAATTGATTCGAATGCCGGAGCTCCAAATTGCAAAAAAAAAAAATGGGTCGGGAGGATTGTAACGCGTGTTCACTAACTAGTGCACGTGGGAAAGGCCACGATGATATTGATATCAAAGCTCTGCGATAGGACTTGCAATATAGATATATCTTCTTGCGCCTTGGGATAGGGCTGGGCTGATGACGAGGATAAAATTTTGCGATAGGATTTGAAGAAATCCCTCTGGTCTTTGGGGTAGGACTGGGCAAATTGATGATTTTGGGATCTATTCGATATATGATTGATAATTTCTTCGATATTTTACAAAAAAATTCTCAAAGATCGTATAGAAGCGCGATTTTTGAAGATATGAATATAATAGAACTAATTAGGAAAATATATTTATTTCTAATATGAATTTGATTTTTAATGAAATCTGAAATTTAGATTTGAAGATATTTCGTATGGGAATTCGATTTTCGGGAATCGGTTCGCGATTAATTTGCATATAGAGATTTTTAATATGATTATTTCATATTTAGATCTTCGGAAATCCGTTATTGATGCCGATCTTTTTTTCTTTCAAAAATTGTCTATTTGCAAGGATGATGATTTTTTGAAATTGCTCGGAGGGAGCATACGATATCGGAATGATCGTAGAGTGCGTCTAAATCATAAAGGGTATAGGAAGATAGATGATGAGATATCGAAATATTTGAAATTAGAGTGGAGCTGCTGCTTAAAGCAGCGCAATATTCGTAATGATAAACGAGCTGATAGGGAAGAAAATAATGCGTATAATTCTAAATCTTAGGTCTTTATAATTTGCTATCTCGAATCTTGAATTAGTGCCGATATTTTGAAATTCCCCAAGAAAATCAATAATAATTGAAAGAATTATATATTTGGAGGCATTGCTATATTTATCAAATTACTCCTCCCTGCAGAGGCCCATCTCAAGGCATTCCTTAAGGGGCAGGGGAATTGGAGAGATATCTCAGAATCGAACGATTTTTTCCTAGATAATCTGAAATGATCTATTTCTATCTTCTATCTTATATTTATCTATATGCATAATCTTATAATTCGAAACCCGAATCGTGATATAGCTCTGCTTCCTTGGGGGGTCAGAGCTGGAGTCTCCTTGGATTTGGAAGACTCCGTTTTCTTGATATTTCATATGACAATGATTATTTATCTTGCAGGAGAATATCATGAGATCAATCTAGAAGAATCTAATATGGCAAATGATATTCTTACTAGCTAGGGATATCTTAATCTCGTTCCGGAGGGAAGAGCCGCGCGACCAAAAATATCCGAGATTTTTGGTCGCGCCGCCCGTATCAAAAATCTCGGAGATTTTAGAGTTTCTAGCTTTTCTGAAGAGCTCTAAATTCTCCGAGATTTTATAGCCCTTGGGAGCCCGCAGGAGGCATTTCAGAAATGATCCGGAAAGGCTAGGTCGCGCGCGGGCGAAATGACCGCAAGGGATCGCACCATAGAAAATATTACGATATATTTGATAAAAGATATTTGTCATCATTTCATTCGCGTATAAATTAGATTTCCCGGATTGTCTTTATCATATCTCCTGCGGGTTCTCTAGAGATTCTAAAATCTCGAATATCTAAATATTACGCCGCGATCTCTTGCGGTCATTTCGTTCTCTCCTTCTTCTTTTCCTTATTTCCTTCATTTCGTTCTTTCCCTAAATAAAAGAAATAAGAGAAATGAATTCAATTAAATGACGCGAAAGGAATGAAAATAAATAAATTGGGATCATGAATACAAATCTAGATTTTCCGATTTCCCTTTAAAAAAATCTCCTGCGGACGCCCTAGAGGCTCTAAAATCTCAGAGATTTCAGAATCGTTCGGAAAAGCTAAAGGCTCTAAAATCTTCGAGATTTTAGGAGCGGGCGGCGGGATCAAAAATCTCGGATATTTTTGGTCGCGCGACTCTTGAGCGGATTTCTATCTGATTTCTCTCTCTTTGATTATCTACGCGGCTAATCAGCGGAAAGCATAGATCCGATATGGAGATTTAAAATCTTGTAGAATTTATAGATAGATCGTATCTGTCTATAGGGATATATGCGCTCTCCCGGGTCGCCGCGCGGATAATCCAAGAAAGATAATGAGGCGGAAAGATCGGACTAGATGCGGGGACCGCGCGACCCGAAATCTCCCAAGATTGCGATCAATTTCTTTCTCTTCGGCAGGCCCTGGACGGAGATCCAAAATCTTTCAGAATCTATTAGATTGGTCGTTTTTGGTCACGTGCGGTTCTTATATATTGATTATTCGTCGCGATTCCTATACGATCTTATATATTCCGCGTCGTTTATCTCTCTTTGATTGTCGGCGCGGCTGGTCGGAGGAGCGCGTAGATCCGAGATAAAGATCCGTATTTTATGATCAATTTCAAGGTTGGTCGTATCTATTCACGGAGATTTATGCATTCCTCCGAGTTGCCGCGTAGATAGCCCAAGAAAGATATGCGAGGCGGAAAGATCAGGTTGGATACGGGAGCCTCATCAAAGGGCCTCGTGACTAAAAATCTCCCAAGATTTCGAGCTATTTCTCTCTCTTTGGTTGTCTGCGCGGTGGCTCGGCGGAATGTGAAGATCCGGGGCGGAAATCTAAAATCTTTCAGAATCTATATATCAGATACGATATTAAAATTATGATGATTCATCGGGTTTCAGGTAAGAGCTTATATATTGATTTGGTCATCGGATTTTCTATTATAGATTTTCTCGAATAAATATTTTCCGATATTGTCGGCCCCGGGTCAATTCTAATATTTTAGAATAATAATGAAATAGAAATAGATCGATATATATTTTTTTTCGAATTTTGAAAATATAGATCATTTGAATATATATATATATTGAATCTTCTTAATTATTGATTCATAAATAAGATAAGATGTAGTCAAATAAATAAATATGAAAAAAATATATCAATCTTAGAAAATTGATATTCTAATATTCTTGATTATTGATCAAAAAATTTTAAATATGATATTCTTGAATATTCAAAAAAAATGAAATATCGTTATTTTTGATAAATTATGAATATCAATAAAATTGATAAATCGAGAATATATAATCTAGAGAAATAT